TCTTTCAACCTCGCGAGCGCAGCAGTCATGATGGTTGATGCTGCAGCGTGTCTCCTGTTGAACTCTGCTTGATAAGGAGGGAAATCTGCAGACGGGTCCTTGTCTTCCATGTGGTAAGGTGTGACAAGCCATGGGAGAAAGAGGGTATCCTGCATCACCAATTATGTAATCCCCAACTTCCAACCCATCTGATAACTTCAGCTTAGAGCCATTCAACGTTGTGCCCTCCTGGCAGGACTTGAAGAGCCAAGACTCATGCAAAACGCTCACTTGGTTCATGCTACCTGACAGCCCCAACCAAATGTTTGTGAACCCCAGATCTGGATCAACGACGGCTTGCATTAGCCTGCCGGCATTTTCCTCATGGCTGTTAGAGTTTGAGTAGTTTACTTCATGTAATCTTAACCTATCTCTATCTCTCTCTCTCTCTTATCTTTCTCTATCTCTTATACCGAACCAGATTGGAGTTCTCTCTGGTCTCTCTTGTACGCCACGGCAAGGCGTTGTTTGCCCCATATAAATATACACGATGCGGCTCCCTCGAGGAGTAGGAACGCTTATACCAAATCTTACATGGTATACAGAGCTAGCCTCTTCCTTATCATCTAGCAACACAAGAAAACCCATAACTCTAGCGCCCTTCCATCGCCATCATCATGAGCTCCAGCGCCGTCGGCCTCAACCTCGGTGCTCCACCAACAGAGAAGCTCGCGAGGGGGAACTACCTCCTCTGGAAGGCGCAGGTTCATCCGGCTCTGCGAGGCGCGCAGGTGACCGGTCTTCTCGACGGCAGCGATGCAGCGCCGCCGAAAACAGTGGAGATCGCCAAGGTGGACAAGACCACGGCCATCGAGCCGAATCCACTGTATGGTCCATGGATTGCCAAAGATCAGCAGGTCCTAAGTTATCTGCTGAATTCGCTCACTCTAGAAATCCTCGCGCAAGTTATCGGTAAGGAAAGTACCCTTGATCTATGGACCGCCCTTACCACGATCTTTGCTGCGCAGTCGCAATCGCGAATAACAAACCTGAGGATCGCCATCTCCAACACCAAGAAGGGCAACATGCAGGGGCGGATCCAGATTAGAAATTACCCGGTGTCCATATAGAAGAATGCATGTCTACATGTCAAATAATTCAATGATCTACACACTAAATCACTGTATTACATTAATCAAGTTCAAATTGAATCCGGTGCCGGTGACACCCGCTACCTCTACATAGCTACGCCCCTGGCAACATGTCCAGCAATGCTTTCATCACCAAGATGAAGAGCCTCGGAGACGAGCTTGCGGCAGCAGGTTGTCCGGTGACAGATGGAGAGATGGTGGACTACATCCTCGCCGGACTCGATCGGGATTACGATCCTGTCGTTGCAGCAATTGGCGCCATCAAGAATTCCATCACTATTGATGATCTTTTCTCGCAGATTTCTGCTTTCGATCAGAGGATGGAGATGCTTGGCGACGGACCAGGCTTTCGTTCGTCAGCCAATGCCATGTACAGGGGGCGTGGCCAATCTCGGGGCAGAGGAGGCCGCGGACGAAGAGGGCGTGGTCGCTCTCTCCTGTTCGCACCGGTGGGAACAACGGCTACCAGCAGCGTCAACGCCAGCCACCACCGCAGCAGTATCAGCAACAGCATGAGGGTGATTACCCCAAGTGCCAGATATGTGACAAATACCATGCTGGCGGCGCCAGAGACTGCTGGGATCGGTACAAGGAAGATCATCAGGAAAGGAAGAAGGTTAACCTCGTCACCAACTCGTATGGCATCGACACTAACTGGTATGTAGATTCGGGTGCTACCGAGCATATCACAGGAGAGCTTGATAAGTTGACGATGCGGGAGAAATACCATGGAGGTGACCAAGTTCACACGGCAAGCGGAGCTGGTATGGATATTACTCACATTGGTAACTCAATTGTTAAAACCCCTCAGAAAAATTTTCGTCTCAACAATGTCTTACATATCCCTCATGCATCAAAAAATCTTGTCTCTGATCATCATTTTATACTTGACAATAATGTTCTCATCATATTCTACCCTTACTCTTTTGTGATTAAGGATTTGGCAACGAGGAGAGTCATCCTTAGAGGAAGATGCGAGGGAGGTCTCTATCCAATCACTGTTAATACTCCAGATCTGCGCACCAAACCAAGGATATTTGAGGATGAATGTATAGCTAGTAGATTCGGTGAGATGCGAGTGAGTGTCATGTTAATCTAGTTGCACTTGTTCCATTTTCAGTTACTAGTTTTCTGAATAATCCTGAAACGTGCAGTGTACACGCCTATACGGTCAGGTTCAGTTTAGACAGGTTAGTGTCAGGCTAGTCCTTTTTATTCAGACTTAGTCATTTTCTTTGCTGTTGTAATCATGGGCGTGCTGGCCACGACTCTGTCCGTGGGATGGCGCGGGTAAAACGGATTGTGGGAAGTGCATGCTGTGAGTTTGTTACGCTTGAGAATAAAAGGAAGGAAACAGAAAAGGCGCAATTTGAGGCGTCGCAAAACTGCTCCGTTGTAGAGTCTCCTCTTCTCTCTGTTCGTCTGAACTTGGCAAGGTCCATGTGTGTGTGTGTGTGTGTCCACCTCGCGTGTGTTGATCCAGGATTTGATCCAACATTTGGTATTCAGAGCGTTGGTTCACGGGAGGTGGTGCACGGCGGCGGAGTGAGGAGGAGTTGCGGCGGCGGTGATCGGCAATGGGAGATACGTCGCCGAAGAAGGATCAGATCAGCGGCGGCGGAAAGTACACGCCGCCAGAAAAGAGGCCCGGAGATGAGGGTGTCGTGGTCGTGCAGCACGCGCCGACGAGGACCGGCGGCGTCCCGATCCAATATCCAATGCTCAACGACTCCAACTACGGTCTCTGGGCCGTGAAGATGAGAGTGCTGCTCCGCCTGTTCGGTGTTTGGTCGGCGTTGGAGGGCACTACGGAGTTTGATCAGGGAAAGGATGATGAGGCGTTCGCCGCACTCTCCCAGTCCGTCCCAGACGCGGTGATGATGGCGGTGGCCAACTGCGAGACTGCTCACGACGCCTGGGAGGCCATCCGACGCATGCGTGTCGGCGAAGATCGTGTCCAGAAAGCACGAGTGAAGCAGCTCAAGCGCCAGCTCGATCGTATGGAGATGGCGGATAGCGAGTCAGTAAGTGTGTTCGCGCAGAAGCTCATGACGCTCGTCGGAGAATTCCGGTCGCTGGGCGAGACGGTGTCGGATGAGTCGATCGTTGAGGTCCTCTTCAACGCCGTGCCGAGCCGGTTTGGGGATATCGTGAACACCATTGAGCAGTGGGGTGACCTTACTACCATGACCGTGTCGGAGGCAGTCGGTCGCCTCACCGCGTTTGAAGAGAGCCAACGTGGGCGACGCCGTCACTCTGGTGGGAAGAAGGACCAACTGATGCTGACGACGCAGGCCCTTGAGCAGCTTATGAAGGGCAAAACGGGGTCACCCGGAGCTGGCAGCAGTAACGCCGGTCGTGGCCGCGGAGGTGGTCGAGGTCGCGGCGGTGGCCGCGGTGGCCGCGGTTGTCGTTGCCGTAGCCTCGCATTGCCTCTCGCCGGAGCTCTCTCTTTCTCTCGCACGAACGTAGAAGAAAGGAGGCGGTGGACAACAAGATATGCCCGGCGCACGAACGCCGCCGGCCGCACAATGTTGTTAGTTACTCAACTCTGATAAATCTTACTGTCGTAGACTTGTTAAGTCAGAATTAACGTGGATCGTCTGAATTAATTAGTGTTGTACAGACTAGAGAGCAGAGCCGACTAATCTCACCTCGCTCGCTGAATTAGTTAACAGTTGCGGTTGCAGGACCGGCAACGCATTAGATTAATAATCAACACTTGCATGTCTTCCCTCTCAACTGAATCCCTGATTGATTGATTTTGTGAGGAAGGAGTACATGGGCAACGGGTATATCTGCAAGTAAAGATGCAACTTCAACTCTGCTCTCTCCTTTCTTGTGAGGTCATGCATGGCAATGTCAATGTCAGTTCTTCGTCTTCTGAACGAATGAAGTGTTTCAATGCGAATTCGATAGAAGACTGCCAGCAAAGGAAGGGGAACAGTTTGCTTAATGCAGAGTCGAATCGGTGAGCATCAGTTAGGGGCGAGGGTTCTTTTCTTTCCAAATTCAGCTCCATGGGTGTAAACTGAAGATACCAACCATCATGCAAGACTTGTAGAGAAGCAAGATGCCAACTTCACCAAGATTATGTAGTGGTGAAACAGGGCATATGCCGTGATAAAGAAAATACCATCGTATAATAATAACAAGGTAAAAAAGACCTGATCCACAGGCAATGCTCACTACTGTATCCAAGTGCTTGTGAAATTCTTTCAAAGAATATAAACAAAAGCATAAGTGCTCTGCAGTCTCCGCGCAGCTACATAATAATGGATGAAAACACAACTCAAAGAATATATACAAAACACAAGTGCTCTGCAGTTTCCATGCAGGTACACTATTAACTGTTCTCTCCTGAAAACACACCTCACTTGTCTTAACCAAACATACGGAGGAAAAGAAAAACCAAAGAAACAAATTCGCCAATCCAACTTTCAGTTTAGTGGTGTAGCCGCGTCCCTTCCGCCATTGGCGATTTGATTTGATGTAGCCGAGCAGCAGGATGAAGATCCATCTACAACCTAGCACGTCTCCCTTCCGCCTGCTCACATCAACATTTAAAATGGATGAGATACTGTGCATGCATACCGAACACTCAAAAGTTGTACAGCCGGTCAGTAACTATGCAATGTGTTTTGCTTAGCATATTGCTAGTCAGGTGCATTGATAAGTGTAGTTTCTTTTCCAACAGGTGTGTTATCAGCTCACTACTCTCTTTCCGAGCAATTAACTTAACATATCACCAAGGGAAATAGCAAAACAATGAACTAACAACATAACTGTGACTTGAAGCACGATTAATAATATAGCAGAGAAAAAAACAGTAGAGTACCAAATTGATTCACTGCGGAGGACGATTTGATCTCAGCTATCATGCTGCTCCTTGTTTTGATATCCTGAACTGGACGCAACTACTAGTGCTGCTGCTTCTTTTTCCTCCTCTGCAGCCAAGCGGGTGAAGTGAAATTAGCATGTTGATCTCAAACAGAGTAGCAGGGAATTGCAAAAGGAGAAAGAGAGGCAAAGCTAGAGTGCGAACAAACACATTAACAGCTGTGCTGATTTACCTCTAGATTCAATCAAGTGCTTGGCCAGTACATCCCTCACCCTGACGGCGTCCTCGTCCGCTAACTGTCGCACCTCCTCCTCCTCCTCCTCCTCCTCCTCCTCCTCCAGCCCTGCAATTTCCTCCTCCTCCTCCTCCTCCCCCTCCTCCATGTCTATCACAATATTATGCAGTATGCAGCACGCATAGATTGTTGCAAAAGGTGGAGATGAACCGAGCGCACTGTCCAGGATCTTCCAAGTGTCTTTCAGCCTCGCGAGTGCAGCAGTAATGATGGTTGATGCTGAACAATGTCTCCTGTTGAACTCGGCTTGATAAGGAGGAAAATCTGCAGACGGGTCCTTGTCTTCCGTGTAGTAAGGTGTGAGGAGCCAGGGGAGAAGAGGGTACCCTGCATCACCAATAATGTATTCCCCAACTTCCAAGCCATCTGATAAATTCACCTTACTGCCATTCAGCACAATACCCTCCTGGCAGGATTTGAAGAGCCAAGAGTCGTGCAAAACGCTCAATTGGTTCATGCTACCTGACGGCCCCAACCAAATGTTTGTGAACCTGATATCTGGATCAACCATGGCTTGCATTAGCGTGCTGTCATTCTCCTCATGGTCACCGCTTTGTGATCCAAATGTGATGTGAGCTGTTTGTACAATGCCACAACAGTTTGGCAAGCCGTGTATCTTGTTGAACTTGCGCTTCATCTTCTCCATTTGAGCGGAGCCAAGCCAGCTGATGTGGTGAAATGCTCGCTCCCACATAGCCTCAACAAACACCTGAGTTACCAGCAAGACAGTTGAATCATTCACACCAAGAGAGGATCCTACGGTAACCGGTGAGTCACCAGAGTTCAGCACTCTGAGAGCGACAGCTACTCTGTCTTGCAAAGACAACACTCTCCCATCATCCCTTGCCATCATATCTTCGAAAAATGGGATCCTCACCAAGCTGCAGATGTAACTGAAGGTGCTTCTTCTCATTTTGTACACAGACTCAAATCCTTGTGTATCCACCATACAAGATGATAAGGTTTCTGCATGGCAAGAAAAATACAAAATGGTTACATGATAGTCTAGATATGTTAAACTCGAGAAAACCTAGAAGAACAAGAAGACAAATATTTAGCAACATGCACTAGGAAGGTACAGAATATATCCGGTCATCATGCAGTATATATGGACGAAAAGTAGGAGATAATATCAAATGAACTTATAAACTGGCAAAAATGAGTGCTCAAACAAATTAAGACAAAGCTTGTACGTATGTTTGATTATATACCTTCAAATACAATAGGGTTGCTAATATTGGAATCCAGCTTGCAGTTGTCACCTCTCGTGTACAAAACGTACCATTTTCTTAGGTTGCCTACATCACCTGCATATGCCTTGACATGCTCCACTTGGCAAAACTTGTCCCACTCAGTGCCAGATTGTCCCGCGGCTACCTCAAAGAGTAACCATAGCCTGCAGTATAACTGGAAATGCCTTGGCTTTATGTCTCTCATGTATTCTGGGAGCTTTTCCATGGCGTAATCCCCCAGGACCAGCCTCTCGAGTGAAGCGATATGCTCCAGCACCTTCAACTTCGGGCATTTCATGATGGTAAGCTTCTGCAGATTGGGGAGATTGGTGATCATCTCTAGGTCAAGGCATACATTCACTCTAAGCTCAACAACAGAAGGAAAGCTCTCAATGTAGCTGAGGTGCTTGACATGTTCTAGACACAATATTTTCAAAGAGCTTGCATTGGAGGCAAGGCCTGGAGGAACATGCCTCAGTCTGCATTTACTGAGCACAAGTTTCTCCAAACGGGGCATGGCTTGTACTTGCTCCTCCCACTCCCACTCCTCCCATTCCACCATGTTGTGCAAGTTCAATCTGTTTAACCTTGGAAATGAGGCTGCTGCCGCCTGCACGAATCCAGTCCCAACATGTTTGATGCATGGAGCACGATCGACCTATAGAAACTACAAATTGGGGAGTTGGCACAACCCATTGGGAAGTTGTGTGCAACAAGGCAGATCATCAAAAAATATAGTGTTCAAGTTGTTGAGGGGCACCATTGATGTGGACATCATCCAGCTAGGGAGTTGCCGGCCAAAATACCCCGTGATTCGAAGATATTCTACACCAGGTGGAGGGCAGAGCTTATCATGAACCTTCTCAATTCGTTGTTGCTCTTCCTCATAGACACCTTCCTTCTCTTTGACCAACCCATCTTCTCCCAGTTTACTAGTGCAGTGCATGAGTAGACTGAGAAGACGTGTCTTCTCGCCGAGCCTAGCATTAGGAACATTTGAGGAAGCCGACACATTCTCTAATTCAGTTAATCCAAGATATCTGACTTGGGAAAGAGGCCCCAACTCGTCCAAACTGCACCAATCACCATCCATGTGGGCTCGAAATATATGTAGTCTCCTCATATTTGTCAGACTACTAAACTCTCTAGGTACCATACTTGATTTGGGAAGTGAAAGTAACCTCAGCTGGCCAAGCTTCACAATGCTGTCAGGAAGATTCACCAATTTTGGACATTCACCAAGGTCAAGGAATTGCAATAATTTCATCTTGCCAATGTTTCCTGTAAGTACAGACATACCAGCATTTACTAGTGTTAGATACCTCAGGTGCTTGAGTTGATGCAAAGATTCAACCAATAGAGTCATATCTGCAGATTCTATATGAAGAGTCCGCAAACTAGAAAAAGTAACCAATGAATCACCATGCTTCATCTTAATCTGGATAGTTGAGAACAATGTTCTCACTGATTGCTGCGCCTGTAGAGATTTCCATTCAAGTTCACCTGATTGTGATGGGTTTGTTTCTATGGACAACCGAAGAAACTTCTGTGAACCAAGTTTAGCAAGAATATCATTTTCTCCGTCTTGAGCCACGAGTGCTTCATCTTTAGTCATATAGTGAGCAAATGAGCGAACAACATCATGCATGCTGCAAACCAATATACCAATACACGATTTATCTGGCTCTATAAGGTTCCTAGATACTAACTCCTTGTAGTAATTTCTTCCCAATTCTTCTAAATCACCAGAGTTTTCATGAATAAATCCTTCGCTTATCCACATCGCCACGACTTGCTCCATATGAAAACGTCTACTTTTAGGAAGAAAAGAATAGTATAAAAAGCACTGCTTCAGGTAAGAAGGCATATATTCATAGCTTAAGTATACTGTGTGGTTGAGATCATGGGGCATTTTAGTTGTTGACCATTTAGAATCATCCAAAACTTGCTGCCAGTCACGACGTAGCTCCCCTCTTTCATGCAAGAGTCCTCCCATCACTTTAACAGCAATTGGTAAACAACCACATTTCTGTATAATTTTCATTCCGATATCCTTTAGCGTATTGATGTGGTCTTCATCTATCTCACTTGAGCATACCTGCGACCACACAGTACAAGGGACCGATACAATTAATTAAGTATGTATAACATATATACTTTATGCCTAGAAAACAAATTTTCTTTCCTTTTCTTTTACACGATCAAAAAATACTGCAAGAAGAATATACTTTAGCACTACTCTCTCATAACTGTTATAAGAAGTAACTCCAAATTTAGCACAAATCATATAGCATTGTTTTATTCGTTTTCATATTTTATGGTTACATGAAATATTATCTAATCTCTCGAGCATCCATAATGCATAATACTACGCCAAACATTAAGTAATAAATTTGTGTGCAAATTCTCAAGAAAAATTACTGCCAACTTCTAGTCTAGTTATTTTCGTGTTATATTCCTTTGTTGTATTGGCAGGGATTCACCTAAATTGTTATTTTTCTGTCTTAAAATAACTTTTAATTTATATTATGTCCTATGACACTGTTGAGTAGCTGAGCACTTAGACCTTCATCTCATATGTTGGAAAACATACGACCCATGCCTCTTCACTGGTAGAAATGATACATATATAATTATCCAAATTTCTATTTATTTCTCAAGCTTGATTAAACAAAATCTAGGTGTCATTGAATGTGTCTCAATTAGTGTTGTGGCATATTTCCTTGTTTAGCACCATGCTTTATTGGCACTTTCAAAGTAATCTTAGCCTTACAAATTTACTGACAACCTCTTACCTCCAAGAGGTAATAGTACATAGAAGTCACTAAATTACACGTAATTAATATATCATTAGTTTGGAAGCATCCTAACATTTCTATTAGTTACATACATAGTACTGTTAATATGTAGATGGAGATAGATTATTCATTTCACTGAAAGATTAGTATTTAATTAAGAACATGCCTGCTTCTTGAGCAATGACCAACCATCTTCAGGTGCTAATATGTCGACATGGTGGTACGGCCAGATAGCTTTCACCCCTCGGGCAACACCTTCATGTCTGGTAGTGATGAGGACTCGGCTGCCTGAAGCAGCAGCATTGACTAAGGGTATTTTCAACACGTCATCCCATGCTCTATGGTTCCACACATCATCCATTACAAGAAAGGTCTTGTGGTCAATCAATGTGTTCTTGAGGGTTTCATGAAGGCTGGTCTTTGCACTTTCAGGTGGTTGGGCATCTCCTCCGGCTTCAATGATGGCCCTTCTCAGCAGATCAACATCACTGAAGTTTTGGTTGACGCTCAACCATATCTTTTCGCTGAATTCACCTTGGATTGCCTCGTCATTGAAGACCTTCTGGGCGAGGATGGTCTTGCCGATCCCGCCAACACCTACAATAGTGACCACCGTGATGTCATTGTTGACATCCTTTCCCGTCTGCATGAGCTGGGCCACCAGTGCTCTTGTGTCTTCTTCAATCTTGTCTCCAACAATAGCCGACCGGTCAAAGTCCCCTACCGTCTCCTGGCTTGGATTACCATGCTGAGAGGCATGGGTGTTGCTGCGATGATCCTCATAGGACCAAAGATTGACAAAGTTGAAAGCAGTGCTTCGTTCCTTGATGTTGTCAAGCCTCTGATTGAGTGCCTTGATGCGTGTGCCGATCTCACGAGCATGGGATTGTAGGATTGAAACACCCTGCGTTTACCGAGGATGGTCCACGCTCCATGGCCTTGAGCTGGCAGAGGTCAAGGATGTCAGTAGCTTCGTACATGGCACGCTTGAGCTGCCCCACCCACTCTCAAACAGTCTCATCGGTAATGTTCCTCCTATTAGCATCGGCCATGAAGTTCTTGAGGTCCCGAAGCTTGTCTCCCATCTTGTCGATCTCGCCGGAGACGCCCAACATCGTCCTCACCTCATCAGTTGCTACCTGCGTGAGCATGTCCACCAGGTAGGACGCAAATGCATCCAGCACCATCGCCATTGTTGCTGGTTAATTTTTCTGCAATAACAAGGTAATGTCAAATTCAAGCAGGAAGCTTAGCTTGCTAGGTGTAAAGAGAGACAAATCACACTTGAACTGCCTAACCAACCTCTAAGATGGGTGGACAATGCAGACGGCGGAAAACACGTGGGGTTCAGCGTGACACCAGCGCCAGAGAAGACGTGTCTTCTCCAGGAGAGGAAGCTCAGATCCTCCTCCGGCGCATTGCCTCTGGGAGCAGCAGCTCAGCTCCTCCTCCGGCGCGCTGCCGCCAGAAGCAGCAGTTGCCTGCGCGAGCAGCAGCTCAGATCCTCCACTAGCGGCCGGACGCAGAGTAGCTGGGTGTAGCGGTAGGAAGGTGCTCTCCGGCAAAAGGCCACAGCACAGCTGGGTGGAAGTTGACAGGAGCAAGTGAGGAATGAGACTGTGAGAGCCATTCAACACAGTAATAACAGTGGCAGACAGCTGCATTGGACGAAGGTAATTAACAATTCACATAACGTGGGCTGCTGTCAGGTTTACAGACTTATTTTTCGGCGCCACATGCAGACTTTCTCTAGATCTGCATAAAATTGTACGCTAGCAAGCTAAATTGTTTACACCATGTGTCTGTATTCCAACTATCTCTGGAGGAGCATCCTGAAACACTCCTTATTAAGATAGGAGGTTCGTCGATTCATTAAAAGTAAGGGCCAATACACTTATTTTGTGGTGTCACACTTTCTAGTTTTATAACTACAAGGAAATGCCCCTTAATCTACACTTAACGAAGTAGTGACAGTGGCAGACAGCTGCCTTGGAATGATCGTCTCCATCTTGTTGAATCTGTTTAGCCATCGGTTTAACTTTGCATCCACATCGCTAGCATGTGCCCACCAGATGCAGTTTGCAAAAGGAGAGCTAGCACAGTGGAGGATGGAGTGCTTTATTTATGGATTATAGAACTGAATGAGCAAACGGACTGAACTGAAACTTTGAACACAAACTTTATATAAAACTGATGTAGTATAAACGTAGCCCAACTCATGTTTTGCCGAGTCATCCATGAGAACCAAAATTCACATAAACAAGAGTTCAAAATTAACAACTTACATTACAAATAGATGAGGCATCAAATGCATGATGGAGTTCTTGACAAAATATTGCGCATAGATTATTGGCAGCATCCTGGAGACGGAAAAGCAACATTAGCTACTGGATCTCAAACTTAGCCAAGAAAAAAAAAGCCACATAGCATACCTAGCATGTAAGAGAACAATAAACTGAACAAGATACTGCACGTGGTTTATGTTTCAAGCCAGAGCAAATTTAGGGAGACCCTAGCCTTTCCTTTCTTCCTTTCATAAAGAGAAGATATTCTACAGAGCAATAAACTGAATAAGATAATGCAATTTGTGAACAACAATTGCATGTCAAAAATTCAGTTTCCGGTTTCTTTTTTTGCATTTGCGCTGATCTCTCCACAATCATTTATCTCTGGTTCAGGGTACAAGGAAACAATATAACAATTTCAACGCAAAAGCATGTACTAGCTAGTAGTTCAGGGCAAGCTTGGTACGTATAGCCCAAAG